GGTGAACCCGGAGTCCTGGGAAGGGAGGAGGGGAGTGTGGTCAGGGAAAAGCCAGGAGCGGAGGAGGACCCCTGAAGAAGCATATAGATTTGGGGGGATCTCGGTGACGGGGGTTGGGGGCTGACCTTGGGGAAGCAGCATCGAGAGTCTTAGCGTCCATGGCGTGAGGGGTCTGGGCCCCGGCTCTGGAGCGCCAGGGAGGCCTGGATAAGAGCCTGGAAGGCCAGGGGGTCTTGAGGCCTTGTTGGAAGGGTCAGCAAGGATTTGGGAAGCCTGGGTGAATTGGAGGGGTCTGCGAGGGGCCTAGGAATGTGTGGGAGGAGAATGGAGTCGGGTTGGGGGGGAACGCGGTAGAAGGTGCCCGAGCACAGCCTGCAGCTAGAAGCCGTGTGTGTATGGGTGTGTGTGTGTGTGTGTGTGTGTGTGTGTGTGTGAGAGAGGGAGGGGGGTGGGTGGGAAGAAGGAGATGAGGGCCTTGTGGGTGTGGATGAGGTAATTGGAGGCCTTGGGAGATCTGGAAGGGATGGGAGGTAGTGTGCCCATCCTGAGGCCTCGGAGAGCTTTCTGGGGAGGACTTGGAGAAGGGAAGGGCCTGGGGCAAGACTGAAACCTCCGTGGGGTTGTGTGTGGAGGGCCAGGGCCTGGGAGGGGGCGTGAAATGGTGGAGCAGAGGAGGATGCTAGACTGTCAGGGCTGGTGGGCCGAGCAGGAAGCTCCTCTGGGGGACGGTGTTGGCAAAGGGAGCCTGGGAGGTGCTGAGGCTGCTGGGGGAGCTGCAGAGGGGGCTGTGGGGGAGTGGCCGGGGAGATCAGCCTGGGCAGGGGGCTGTGAGGAATAATGGAAGGGATTGTGAAGAAGTAGGGGCTGGGAGGGGTAGCGGGAGAGGCAGGGAGGAGGGCAGGAAGGGGTGGTGAGGGAATCATGAGGTGGGTGAGGGAGAGTGGGTACAGGGCCAGGACCTCGGGGCATCCGTCGTAAGGATTGGGGGTTCCTGAGATTCTTGGGAGGAGAGTGCTGAATGGGACAGGAAAGGTCCATGAGGCCCAGGTCCGTAAGGGAGGGATTAGACAAAATCAGTTCCTGGGAACCTGAGCGGGGAGGGGAGGGCAGCTTAAGAGGGGCCAGGGGGAGTGGTGGACCAGACAAGGGGGTCCATTCATTTGTTTGACAAGTGGGGGGTAGAGCGTAGAGCTGGGGCTTGGGGCAGCTGGGACTGTGTGACAGGAAGATGTGGGTGATTGTTGGGCCAGACTGGGGGCCAGGGAGAAGAGGGAAGGAAGTAATTGGAGGTGCAGGCTTTTGTGTCATGCCTGGAGATGAGAGACTCAGGGTGCTGGAGGGCGGGTGTGTCAAGCACTGTCAGCACAAACGAGACAAAATTCTCATTCTCTCAGGCTCACCTTCTATTGGGAGGAGATGGGAAAAGAAACCAATGCATGATTTAGTTTATAAATATTGGGTGGTGCATGGGGCCATGAGAAAAATGAGCAGGGGCAGGGGCTAGTGAGTACTGGGGGGAACCTTTAGGTGGCCCAGGAATGCCTCTCTGAGAAGGTGACATGTGAGCTGAGAGCTGGATGAAGTGAGGTTGCACGTGCACATAATGAAGTTTCTCTACCCTTTCCTAGACCTCCTTCCCTCACCCCACCCCCAAGTGGAACATTCCAGGCAGACGCCACAGGAAGCGCAAAGGCTTTGTGGCAGGAACCAGCTGGCCCTGTGAGAACAACAGCAGGGAGACCAGGGTGGATAGAGAAGAGTGAACCAGGGAGAGAGGCAGGTGTGCATGGCCCATGGGGACATGGTGGCTTTAGGATTCTGTTGTGCAGGTGTGGGGAGGACTTGTGCAGAGGTGTGATAGCACTGACAGGTTTTAGAGCAATCCCTCTGGCTGCCCAGTGGAGCCATGAAGGGGATGGGTGAGGTGTTTTGAAAAGTAGCATTTTTATAGAAAGATCGGAATATCACATGGGACTAGGGTGGGTCTATGTGACTCATTTTTTCTTCAACATTAGGTTCTCAGCTGTGGGGAAGGCTGGCGAGAAGGGCAGGGATGGGCAGGAAGCAGGTCCCAGAAGCCTTGGAACAAGAAGAGGGGGCTGCCCGCATATCTGAGCAGAGTGGGAGGAGTGAGGCCGTGAACTCTTGGGAAGGTTTTACAAACTTAGCACAGATGATCCCAATTACTGGGGCTGGGGGAGAACCCTTGAGGAAGAAGGCCGGTGAGGTAGGTGAATAAGACCAGGTGGGAAGAAGGATTTCTCTGCTGGCACATTCAAAACCAGCTCATTTTCCTGCTAAGTAGATTAAGAAGCCATCCATCCCCTGGGGTCATCACATCACTTATTTCCTAAGTGGGTGGAGGAGGGATTAAACCAGATCTTTGTACCATGCTTAACCCAGAGCTTGCGTGGTGTCTGAGCTTCTGTGTCCCTCTGGCGCTTGCAAAAGATCTTAAGACTGCCCTCAGAGGGGTGTTGGTATGAGGAAAACGTACTGTGTGCTGCCTGGCACACAGTAGGTGCTCAGTTAATGAAATTGCAACTGCGCCCTAGTCAGTGTGGCTCAGGTGGTTGGGCCTTGTCCTGTGCACCAAAAGGTTGTCTGTTCGATTCCAGGTCAGGGCACATGCCCAAGTTTTGGGCTCGATCCTCAGTAGAGGGGTGTACAGGAGGCAGCCAATTGATGTTTTGCTATCTCCCTCTCCAAAAATCAATAAAATATTTTTTTTAAAAGATGTCTTTATACACACACACACACACACACACACACACTAGAGGCCCGGTGCACAAAACTTTGTGCACTCAGGGGGGGTCCCTCAGCCCGGCCTGTGCCCTCTCACAGTCTGGGACCCCTCGGGGGATGTCCACCTGTTGGCTTGGGCCTGCTCCCCAGGGGATTGGGCCTAAGCTGGCAGTCAGACATCCCTCTGGCAGCCCGGAAGCCCTTGGGGGATGTCCACTTGCCAGCGGGGAGCAGGCCTAAGCTGCAGTCGGACATCCTTAGTGCTGCTGAGGAGGCAGGAGAGGCTCCTGCCACCACCACTGTGCTGGCAGCTGGCAGCCTGGCTTGTGGCTGAGCAGAGCTCCCCCTGTGGGAGTGCACTGACCACCAGGGGGCAGCTCCTGCATTGAGCATCTGTCCCCTGGTGGTCAGAGTGTGTCATAGTGACCAGTCATTTTCAGTTGTTCTGCTGTTAGGGTCAATTTTCATATAACCCTTTTATTATATAGGATAGAAGCCTGGTGCACAGGTGGGGGCTGGCTGGTTTGCCCTGAAGGGTGTCCTGGATCAGGGTGGGGGTCCCACTGGGGTACCTGGCCAGCCTGGGAGAGGGGCTGATGGCCGTTTTCAGGCCGGCCATGTCCCCTGGTGACCCAAGCTCCCAGCCTCTTCTTTTTTTCTTTTTTTTCTGGGATTTATCTTCTCTAATTGAAACTTTGTAGCCTTGAGCTGAGCCCAGGGCCGGCCAGGGCAGGCAGGAAGCTTGGCTTCCTCCATCACCAGGGGCAACCAAGCCTCCTGCTCGCTCCAGCTCCGTGGCTGCCGCCCTCTTTGTTGGGGTAATTTGCATACTCGATCCTGATTGGTTTGTGGGCGTGGCTTGAGCATAGTGGAGGGATGGTTAATTTGCATGTTTCTCTTTTATTATATAGGAGGATATATATATATATTTATTGATTTCAGAGAGGAAGGGAGAAGGGAGCGAGAGGGATAGAAACATCAATGATGAGAGAGAGTCCTTGATTGGCTGCCTCCTGCACACTCCTTACTGGGGGCGGGGATTGAGCCTGCAATCCAGGCATGTGCCCTTGGCTGGAATTGAACCTAGGACCCTTCGTCCGGAGGCCAACACTCTATCCACTGAGCCAAACCAGCCAGGGCAATAAAATATTCTTTAAAAAAAAACAAAAAAAACCCTGCAACTGTTCACTGTTTTAGACAGTAAGGGTGGAGATGCTTAGGAGGGAGCAAGGAGAGGAGTGACACCTGAGTCTCATCAGTTCCTGAAGACAGTAGGGTGCTGTCACATACGCTTCACCGGGATGGCTTTCCTGTAGGGAGTGGGTGCTGTTACTTGTTACCCCATTTAACAGATGATGACTCTGAGATCCAGGCCACTGCAGGACTTGCCCAAAGGGGCAGAGCTGGGAGTGAAATCTGCCCCAGTGGTTCTGCTGTCTGTTAGAACCATGGGGTGGGGCAGAGTGGGGGCCTGGGAAAAAGGGACATGTCTGTTTGATGGAGCAGGAGTAGAAATGGGAGAGGGGCAGAGGCTCTTCTGTCTGACCCCATATCACCTCACTTCCCCTATGTCTCTCCCCAGGGAGAAGGCCCCCAAAGAAAAAACCAACCAGCCAGCACGCCAGCAGCCCCGCCAGGGACCCACCAATGAGGCACAGATGGCAGCAGCAGCAGCCCTGGCCCGACTTGAGCAGAAGCAGCCCAGGGCTCGAGGCCCCACGTCACAGGACCTCATCCGGAACCAGGGTGACCTGCGCTGCCCTTGGGTTGCAGTGGGGGGAGGCGAGTGGAGGTGGAGTGAGGCCTCTGCCCCTTCATTCTTGAGGCCTGTTCACAGGCCTCAGATCCTGTGCTTGGCCCTGGATGAAAATAATTACATAACCCCCATGACTTTGAGAGGCTTTAAAATCACAGTTGTGAGAGTGGGGAAATTAAGGGTGAAAAGGAATAAGGGTCTGATTTCGTCTGGGTGCCATGTATGTCAGGGAGTTTGAAGAAGGAAGGGAGGGAGGAGGAGGATGTTGAAAGTCATCATCAGGTGGTCAGGTGAAGCCTGGGGGCATGGAGCATTGTTGCAGGAAGATGGGTCAGGACCTTAAGCTAGAAGGACTAGGACTTGAGGGCCAGCCCTGGTGGGGCCACACACTGACCCTTCTCTGCCTCTTCCTCCAGTGAGAAAGGAACTTCCAGCTGAAGCGTCTGTCAGTGGGAGTTCGCAAGCCTCAGGGACTAACATGGTAAAAGCATCCACAGGGCAGCATGATACTCCAAGGGGTGACCTGGGGCAGGGGAGCTGGGATCCCGCCCCCCCAAGTTCTTGCCTGCATTTGTCTAATGGGCCATTTCCTCATCACCAGCTAAGTGCCCAGCCCAGGGCTGTAAGCACCTGGTGCTGGGGCGGTGGGGATGCAGAAGAGATGTCAGGGTGGATAGAGGTCACCTCTGGCCTTGGGGACCCCTGCCTTGAAAGGTGGAGGCAGGTTGTGGTTGAGTGCAGTATTGACTGGGACCTCCACGCTCAGCACTTAATGATGCCAGGCTTGGGTGTTGAGGGTAGGATTGGACCTCATTAGCTTGTTGGTTCACTACCCCTCGGCCCCCCCACACCCAGCTTCCTAATCCCATGAGGGTGGATGCTGTTATAGTTCATACTTTTCAGAAGAGAAAACTGAGGTTCAGAGAGGTGAAGGCAGCTGTCCTTAGTTCTGCACCTCAAAATCATCAGGGACAGAATGGGGACCTGTCTCTGGGACTCCAAAGCACTGGCCTCTGTAGCCTTCTTGGGAGGTGGGAGGGCTCTCTGGAGACTGGTGGAATCAGAGGCCTTCCTGAAGGAGAGAGCTCTGCAGAAAGGATGGTCCTGCAGTTCACCCCTTGAATTCTCACTGGATTTTAGAGTGGAAGAGACTCTAGATACTGCCTAGGACTTGAGGCTCAGAGAGAGGCCAGGACTCATCCAGGGCACCATGATTCGGCTCCTCACCACAAAGCCCCGTCTCTACCAGGTAGCAGGGACCGGAACAGCAGAAGCCATTGATTGAGTGCTGTGTCCAAGGTTGCTACACACTTCTTTCCTTCCTTCCTTACCTTGTTGGATTCTGAGCTGGTCCTGCAGAGATATTTCACAGATAAGAAAACAGTCTCAGAGGGGCTCGGTCACGGGCCAAGGTGTTTCATGGTAGAGGGGACAGCGTTGGGACCAGGGATGTGTGACTCCCAGGGCCATGCTTTCAAGGCTGTGGCACTCAGTGACTTGAGGTGGCTTTTGTCCACTGTCTAGGCTCAGACACTTTCATCCCCATCACCCTAGGTAGCTGAGCCCAAAGAGGAAGGCTCAACTCACCTGGCGGCGCCTGGAGTGTATTTCACCTGCCCGCTCACAGGGGCCATCCTGAGGAAGGACCAGCGGGACACCCGAATCAAGGAGGCCATTCTCTCAGTGAGTAGAGGCCCCGTGCCCCCATCCCTCACCTAGAGGTTTCAGGTCAGGGCTGCCTTCAGTGAGCCCCAGTAAGGCCGGGTGGTACAGATCCTTCGTAGTGTCTTCACCTGTGTATATTGTGTCTGTTGTCACTTGTTCAAAGAGGTAATGCTTACTTGTGATAAGAATTCAGGATACAAAAAGGGTAGGCAGACAAAAACCACTTCCCCCCACGTCCCAGCTACCCTTCCAGGATGCAACCTCTGTGGGTGGTTGAAGTTCCTTTTCAGAGACATTTCAAGAATGAACAAACTACTGACATACTTGTATCTCCCCTTCACTTGTTTTATTTTCCATAAAAGGTAACGTACCACTCACGTTTAACATAGGAACTGCCAGCTGTTATATCAGTACAAAAAGAACTCCGTTACTTTTCTTTCTTTAAAACTGAATTTGGAAATAATTTCAAACTTAGAAGAAAAAGAACACACGAATATCTTTGCCCTGGGTCTGAGTTTCTCATTAACCATCATAACAGATTACTACAAACTCGGGGGCTTCAAATAGACGTCTAGTCTCTTAGAATTCTGGCCAGAGTGTGACATGGCTCTCACCAGTGGCAGGAGGGCTGCATTCCTTCCTGAAGCTCTGTGGACAGTTCATTTCCTGTCCTTTTCCAGCTTCTAGGTCACCTGTATTATGTGGCTCCTTCTTTCACCTTCACATCTAGCGATGCCAGGCAAAGTCTTTGTCCGGCTGCCATCTCTCTGTTTCTCTCTCCTGATGGACTCTTATGATTACCCTGGCCTAGCACGATTGTCCAGGCTAATGTCCCATTTTAAGGTCTGCTGGTCAGCAGCCATAATTCTATTGCATATTCTGGGCTGCCGACGACCCCATCTTCCCTAGAGGTGAGGGCAGAGCTGAGGCCCAGGAAGGAGTTGTCAAAGGGCTTTTCTTCTTTTTTTCTGCTGAACCCATAGAATAGAGTTAAATACTACTGGCCGGTCCACCATGAGACTGTTATTAGTATTATTACTGCTGCCTCCTGAGTAGTGAGGCCTCCAGGCCATGAGGTAAGCACTTTTTGACATGCTTTCCTCACTCCTCCCAGCACTTCTCCACTGACCCAGTAGCTGCCTCCATCATGAAGATCCACACGTTCAACAAAGACCGGGACAGGGTGAAGCTGGGTGTGGACACCATCGCCAAGTGAGTGGGTGCCCTCTCCCCCCACTGGGGGGCCAGCCTCTTGGGCTTCCAGCATAACCTGCTGAGGGGGCCCAGAAGGATCCTGGCCCTGGGAGCCAGGCCCCACCCTTCACTGCCCCTGAGCCCATGAGAAAGGGGCTTGGAATCTTGGGGCCTCTGTTTGTCTGTAAAACGAAAGGGTTTACAGAATTGGGGATTTCCGACCCTGGCTTCCCTTTGGGATCATCAGAATGGGAAGTAGGTGAGTTCCCACCCCACTTCCCTGACTGAGTAGGTCGGGGAGTGCTGGAAGTCTGTTTTTAATTTTATTTATTGATTAGAGAGAGAGAGGGAGACAGAGAGAGAGAGAGAGGAAGGGATAGAGAGAGAAACAGAGAGAGGAGAGAGAGACATTGATTTGTTGTTCCACTTATTCATGCACTCATTGGTTGATTCTTGTATGTGCTCTGACTGGGTATCGAACCCACAACCTTGGCGTATTAGGATGGTTCTCTAACCAACTGAGCTACCCAGCCAGGGCTGGAAGTCCATTTTGCTCATGAGCCCCCAAGCTGACACTGGTGGCCCATTGGCCCTGTCCTCCATTGGTGTCCTCCAGTGGAGGCAGGAACAGCAATAGGCCCCAGGTGGCAATGGTGGTGGGGGCAGTGGTGTCCTATGCAGGCCCAGGCTGTTGGCACCAGGGGTCAGGCTCCATGAGGTGTCCGAGGTGTGATGGCACCCCCCCCCCCCCCCCGCAACATCTCTCTTACCACAAGCCTGGGTGTGGTTCTGAGCTGCTATCCATCTGGGGGTGGGAGGTACAGAGGAGCCAGTCAGACAACCCTGGCCTGTCCCGGATCCCCAATTCTGCCCTAGGTACCTGGACAATATCCATCTGCACCCCGAGGAGGAGAAGTACCGGAAGATCAAGCTGCAGAACAAGGTGTTCCAGGTGAGGGCTGTGCTGAGTGACTTTTAGCCTATGTAGCCAGAGTGGCCGGGCCTTCAGTTACACAGGGCCCAGTCTGGTGGTGGGGCCAGTGGGAGCGCTCCTCCAGGGGTTTCCGGTGAGGTAGGCAGAGGTGGCATGTGGAGAGGGGGTTTTATGAACATAGGTCATACACCACATCTATATTTAATCTGCATTCCCCACCACCCGTGGCATGTTTTGACTTTTTTTAGTTAGGATCACATCAGCACTGGGAGGATTTCTTATACAAACAGACTCCTGGCTTCTGTGGAGAAATCAAGGGGTTTCGCCACCCTGGCCCATGTTACCTGTACTGCTGGCAGGACACCCACTGCTCA